TTATCTGGGTATTTGTTCTGCTCGTCGTCGGCCTAGGCCGGGCTGTTCTTGTGGGTGATGCTTGGATTAGTGGTCCAAGGCTTCCTCTGCCCTCGTCTTCCCCTTCCACCTATGAGCCTAGTTTAAAGCCTGCCGGAGGAGATCCACCAACCTAGAAGAGAACACATGCTTACCTTTGGGAGAAAGGTGAAGCCCATCCCACCCAAGCATGTCTCTTGTCCTGATGTGCGGGTCGTTGTCTAGGAAGCTGAAGCCCACCTCGAGACACCATTCCCGAAGCCGCCAGTTGGTCTCTGCAGGTATCGTGTTGTCTTTCACGTCCGCTCACTGGTAGGACAGAAGAGAATACCACCTGTGCCCCTGTCTCCCTCAGCATGCCCCCCAGAGCGTGGTAGTCCGTCATCAGGTAATCAGGGGTTCTGTTGGCCGCATCATTGGTATCCACATGGATTAGGACCATGGGGTAGTAATCGGTGTCACAACTGCCACTGCTCATGAGGTTTGTTAGGTACTGATGCTCCTCTACAGTTGAAGAGAGGAGGGCTTTTCCTTGTGGGCGATACGTCTTCCTCCCTTTTGCCCTATCTGTGGAAGTACCATAGTTGTTCTTGGTGGCCTATAGTGGGAAATCATTTTTGTTTGGCCTGCCTTCCTGTGATGGACTTCAGCTACTTTTACTGTCCCCCGTCCTTGACATGCAGTCCAAGAGATTCTGTTCCCAAGCCAGGTTGCTCTTCTGCTGCACAGCTTGATCAGTCAGTCAGTCAGTCAGCTGTCTGGTGGATTCAAGCTGTTTAGGAATGTCTCCTCTCTACCTGAAAGCCTTCCTCAGAAAAAAGTATCTCAGCATTAAGTATTGGGGAAAGGACAATCTTCAGGGAGAGCAGAGCCTCCGTGTAACAGTTGCTGTCCTCTCAGGGCCAAGAACTTTTTTTTCAGTTGAGATCTGAGGGGCAGCATAAGAAAGGAGAAATGTGGGGAGAGTCAGGCCAGGATCTCTTCATTTCCCTAACTTTCACTGACCCTTCAGATTAGAGAAAGTAAGTCAAATCTAAGGCTTGGAGGGAGACCAGCAAAATCCCTTTAAAAGGGATCTAGTAGTCACAAGCACTCTCCTTCATCCTTGTCTGCAGAGAAAAGCTTAAGCTGCAGCCTGAACAGGAAGAGAACAAGGCCCAGGAAAGGCATTTCTTTCCACACTGCTTTAATTTCCTGCTCTTAATACCTAGGGTCATGACCCAATTTAATAGATGGGTTTTGAAACAGTGATGAATTGGAAGGAATAGGAGAGATCAAAAAAGTGCCCTTCCAGAAAAGCACTTTATTCAGTTGGCAATGCAGAGGGTGTGCATGCGGGTGCACGCCCACCCCCTGAGCGTGGCAGTGCACCCCCTGCAAAAAAGGTGCCATTGATATTGCTGGTTGTGCCTGTGGGCAGTCACTGGTCGCCACCCCTCACCACCGACACTTGCCACTGGCCACTGCCGCCCCCGCCTGGGGGGGCCGGCGATCGCCGACTACCGGTTGGCGCTCGCCACTCCCCGCCACTGACAGCACTGCAGCTGCCTGTGGGAGCTTCCTGCTTGCTGCTGTCATGCTCCTGCCGCTGCTGCTGCTGCTGCCACCACCACCTGTGGGAGCTTGCCGTGCCCCCCCAGCCTCTGGGGGCACGCAGTATTCATGCTTTCTTCTCTTTCATCTGATTATAACTTATAGTAAACATTGGGAGTATGAGCAGCCAGATATAAGACTGAGTGTGTTGCTAAATATATACGATGCTTAAATCCAGATCTGCCTACATGACGTTTCACAAAGTTGACACACGTATGGATGGCTAACTTAGATTGCGAATCTGTGAGTCCTTCAGAAAGTGGCTGTTTGCTTTAAGTTTCCATAGACAATATAAAGTCTTCTCTGTGCTATAATGGTGGCACTTTCTGCCTTTACAGTGGCATTGGCGCTCTCTACCTATGGAGCTCAACTTTTCCTTGGCAGCAGCCTTTCTACCACTTATGTTTCAGGATTCTTAGGTTTCCATTGCAATCTATAATGTGCATTTCAGTGGCTAGATAAGATTGGTGGACCAAAGAGTAAAAGGTAGATACCACCAAGGGCAGATCTAGGATTTTGAAAGGGGAGGATGCAGATAGTGTAGTGCATCATCACATATAACGCAACACATCTTCTTTTTTATGAAGTTAAAAAAAAACCCTAGAAACTTTAGTAATAAGCTAGTACCCTAGGGTTATATTACATGGCTTAAGATTGGAGCAAAACCAAATATAAATGTATTAATTTGCTATGTATTATGTGTAAAAACAAAACAAACTAGGCAAAAATAATCAACTAATGAAATGTTGTTTCATTAGTTATGCAGTCATTAAATTAAATAGATATCTCCCTTTCAGTTTCATAAAACAAAATCTGGCTGCCTTGAGCATTTTGACAGTGCATCCAGTGCATCACTAAAAGTTATTTCTACACCTAGCTACGTTTTCAGCTAGAGCTAAAAAAGCAGTCTGTGGAGCTGTGAAATAGGAGCTACATTACCAGGAGCAGATACTAGACAGCAGACATGCAGAAGAAAGGCTAGTTTGATTAGTTGAATATCAAGGCCATTAAAAAGCAGAGGGTCATTAGTGCCTGTGAGATGAAGAATTTGGGAATTGAGTAGATTATAATGAGCCACAAAGTCAATTGACTCCTTCACTGCTGCCTGAATAGAAATGCTGCCACTGCCAGGCAGCTGGTTTTAACTTTGGGTGGACCGCAAATAAAAGTAGGATGCAACTGCAGCATTGCATGCTCCTGGATGCCAGAGTCAAGTAGTAACTTGCTTGAAGTATTCTGTATAAAGTATTTGAAGAAGCAATAGACAAGTTGACTTTTGAGCTGTGAAAAGATACTCTGCTGGCAAGATAAGATGGGTGGTAGCCATGTGATTTTGTTGTAAGCTGTGTCCTTCCTAATTCTTTCTCCCCTGTGCTATTTGTTGTCCTCTATCATTGCAGCATGCCTCCTATCAGATTGTAAGCAATTCATTGTAGGGCTCAGCTCTCCATCTGTGCTGTGCCACACTTATCATGCTTCTAGGCTCTTTACTTATAATAAACCGCTGAGGTTCTTGTGTGTCAGTCTATTGTTTGGTGAGTAGGTCAGTCAGGTGAAGTATCAATGTAGTGTTGGCTGCCATTTAAGCTAAGTACAGATATTCAAAAAGCCTGAATTGATTCAATCTTTGTAGGTTAGTCTGACCTGCATAGACTGAACCAATTTGCAAGTGAATAGACATTTACTTTTGATTCCGGAAATGCAGTCACATGTGTGCAGTGGCTCAGGCTAGGTGCTGGGGGGGAAGGGCGCTAGAGTGAGCTCTTTCTTCCCTTTGGCAGCAGCTGGGAGGCTGAGGAAAGCTGACTGGGGGGGGGGTGTTGCATGGCCAGGCCCTGGCAGGCTGCTAAGTATGATTGGGGCAGGGTTTAAAACCCTCGCCTACAGGAACCCCCACAAGAGTGTACTTGGAGGGGGAAGGGGGAAGCAGCCCTTGTCAGGCTTGTCAGGGAGGGGCATGGCCAGATATTCAGGTGAAGCGGGGCATGGAGGGAGATTAAACTCCCCTGTCTCCTCTCTGTCCCATACTGGCCCAAGGACCCCAGCCGGGGTCTGCTCAGCTTTCCCTTACACTTGGCTGCTTGTGCAGCAGGAGGCGTGGCTGGGACTGGTCGGCCTGGCCCCGCCATCCACCCCCCTCACCCAGGGCTGTGGGGCTGAGCCGGGCTGACCCACAGGTGCTGCCGAGGGTGGGCACGGAGGACAGGGCCCTTCCCAGGGCAGGGCCTTTCTCAGTTGGTTGCTGCTTGGACTGGGGCCACAGGAGCTGTGTGCCCGGATTGCTCCCTACACCCAGGCTGGGCAAGGCTGTCATGGAGCTGCAGCTGCCTGGGAAGGGCCCTGCCCTCATGGCCTGGCCCAGCTCCTCTGTGCCCACCCCCAGTAGCACCTGGACCTGGCCTGGCTCAGCCCTGGGTGAGGTGGGTGGATAGTGGGGCTGGCGCAGCCCAGGCTGTGGGGGCAGGGCCCTTCTCAGCTGGCTTCAGCTCCTTGACAGCCCAGCCCAGTGCACACAGGCAGCGGCTGGCAATGTGGAGGTGATGCCACTGCAGCTGTGGGAAGAAGGTGCCTTGGCAGCTGGACTGACCAAGCAGGACATGCCCACGGCTGCCCGGACTGGTTCGGGGGTGCTGGTAGGCCTAGAACTGGCAACCGCCCACTGCTGGGGCTTGTATGCCTGCCATGAGCCTGAAGCTGAGCAGGGTCGGCTGTGCTGCTGAGGGTGGGTGTGGAGGGGCCAGGCTGGGCTGCGGGGCAGGACCCTTCCCAGCTGGCTGCGGCCCCATGGGCAGACATTTTTCAAGGGCTGCCTTGGATCTAAAAACGTTGAGAACTACTACATTAAGATGAAAAATCACGAGGAATTTACAAAGTTCTGTGTCCCTGAACACAGGAGTCAAACTTCATGAATCTTTCCAGCCAGCACTGTATGCAAAAGCTATCTCACTTGTTAGCTTTTTCTCCAGTGTTGCACACTATAAGTGTTTCGCTCCATAACACTAGTTTTTAACATTTATTTCCTGCCTTTCACCTCGGGGATTTGTAATAAGCTCATTGCGTAGTTTTGCATTCTGTTCCTATGATGACTGCATGGAGACTGGTGGATGTTCATGGCACAGTTTAAGTATGAAACCCTGAGATTCATTTAAGTTGAAGGCATGTGCCTCAGTTAGGGGATGGAAGAGTTGGCTGGATAATGCACAGAAGTCTGGGCAAATCGGGAAGGGCAAAAAAGAAGCAAATGTGAATTACTTGGCTTCAGGTGTATGGGTAGCCATCACTGAACACAATGGGGTGGGGTCTATGTAGGGATGGTCATGGGGTGGAAGGCATGTATGAATGTGGTTCCTGTTCCTGATGGCCTCTGACCTTGTCTTTCTTGATTCTAGGTTGAACTTCTCAGACATTTCCATGCATATTCTCTTTCCTGAGGCACTCAACGGGGGCTGATTGGATGCCTGCTGTCCCAATGAAAAAGGGATTCACTGAGATGACATAGGGAGGGGTCAGAACAATGGTGCAGAAGAAGAAGATCTGCCCTCGGCTGCTTGACTATCTTGTGATTGTTGGGGCCAGGTAACTACAGGCTTTTTTTGGGTGGGGTTTATTCATGCTTTTGCAAGGAGTGGGGAGAGGGAAAAGAGAAACTATGGCCCCTGGGCCTGCTCAGAATGTGCACTTAGAATTGCCAAGTAGACACTGCTATGAATGTGTAGAGAACAAGTATTTGTGATGTGGTTTGAACCCAACTAGGATTTTGAAACCTCCCATATAATCAAAATATTAATATAAGCTAATTCTTTGGTTTTCCCTTGAGAGAGAGATTTATTGTCCTGTAAACCCAGTAATTAATAATTGTCAAGAAAATCAGAGCAGCTGAATTTGCAATTTTAGAGTTAGTCCTTTAGTAATATTGATTTATCTAAAATCTTGCATTGTGGTTTATACCCACATATGGAAAAAGAATAACTTTTTAAAGGGTTTTTGGTTGTAGCTGTGTTGGTGTAAGGACATAGGAAGGCAAACTTCTTTGGGTAGATATGATCTCTTTTATTAGACCAACTGAGTAGTTGGAAAAAAGGTTACTTGCAAGCTTTTGGGGTGAAGAAGGGTGTTTGTGCCTGAAAGCTTGCAAGTAACTTTTTTCTGACTACTCAGTTGGTCTAATAAAAGATACCACATCTACCCAAAGAAACTTGCCTAACTTTTTAAATAAGTTTTTAAATAGCTACTAACAAAATGCAAGTGTTGAGATGATGTATTTGAATTTTAATAGTTTAAAATACTCATTGGACTAATACTGAGTACTTATGAAATACACAATTCATACTTGTAGTGTTTTTTAGAGGTGCACCGATGCATCAGTTCAGTATCAGATCGGCACCGATTATAAAGAAAATTGAGCATATTGGAAATCAGCCTCATGTGGCCGATAATTTGGCCAATAAATGCCTGTTTGTGCGCATAGCTGCAGTGCAGTATTCAGGCAGTGAGGAGTACAACCTGGTGATGTGGAGAGCTGTGTGCAGCTGGTAAGTCTGTTGTGGTGGGAGGGGAGGGGGACGGAAGGTGTGTGTGTGTGTGTGGGGGGCGTAGATCAACGCCCCCTGCAGTGAGGGAGGGAGTGGGGCTGGGGTGGGCGCTGCCTAGCTGGGGCAGGGCGGGCACAGGATAGAGCTGTGGCTCATCCGGGGGTGGGGAGGGGGGCAGTGGCTCCGCACGGCGCACAGGGTGGGCGGTGGCAGCGCTTGGATGAGGCTAGGGGGGGCTATGGTGAAATTTGGGGTGGCTGCAGCCCCCCCCACAGTGCCACTGCCACCCACCCTGAGTGCAGTGCTGCAGCCTGCCTGGACTGCCCAGCACAGATCCCCCACCCCACTCCCCATGCCCTCCTGGACAAGCAGTGGGAGCTGTGGCTCCATCCTGCACCAGCCCTGCCCCAGCTGGACAGTGCCTACCCCAGTCCCGCCCTCACTGCAGGGGGCATTGTTTTTCCCCCCATGCCCCTTCCCTGCACCCCTTCCCATCTGGGCAACCCCAGCCCCAGTCCCATTTCTTCCCTCACCGTAGGGGCCTTGATATTCCCTCCCACCCCATGCCCCTTCCCTCCCCTCTCTCCTTTCACCACAATAGACTTACCAGCCGCACGCAGCCGTATTGGAAATCGGATTGGTATTGGCTGATATGCCTCCTTAAAAATCAGCTATCAATATTGGCCACCAAATCTCTATCGTATATTTCAAATATACATGTAGAATTTATTGTGCGTTAGTACATATTAGTGGCTTTACTGAATTTGTTACTGCTTCACTTACTGAGTGCATTCTGAAATGCATTGAGCTTCCATTTCCAAATATAAAAGACTTACATTTATCATAAAATGGCAGCTTACCCCTTCCACCTCCCCTTTCTTTTTATGAGAAGGCCTTAACAAAGCAAAAAGTACACACTGGTTAAATGGGGAATGGCTACTTGTAATGAAGTCAGCAAGTTCTATTACTTTATTAGGCTAACTGGACTTAATGTAGGGTATAGATAAATGTATCTTAGCTGGTTTTAAAGGGAAGAGGAGATGCTGTCTGGAAGTGTGTATCAGTTGTTATGATTAGAAATAACTCAAATCATGTTTTCACCGATTTCGTGGAAATCTCTGCAAAATCTGTGGGGGAGTGAGGAACGGGGGACTTGCTAAAATTAAATGCTGGCTCCCCAGTGGGAGTCAGCAGTCTTCCCAGCCATGCATCTTGGCATGAAAGGGGCTGCTGGCATGGAAGATAGCTCCCACCTCTTGCTGCTGATTGACTGAGAGGGCTGCCTGTCACGCAGCCCTGCCAATCTCCACCAATCAGTGAGGCCTCGTGACAGAAAGCCCTTTCCACCAGTCATTGGTGGGGGTGCAGCCACTAAGGCTCCTTGGCCAATCAGATGTGTGGAGAGGCTTCACAATGATAAGCCCATGAGAATAGTGGCTGGGCCCGCGTTCTGCCCGCAAAATTGGCCACCTCCTGTAGTTGGGTAGACCCCTAGTTATGATTTTACTGTTATACCTGTATGATTTTGTAACAATACAAATTAGCTAAATCACCCTAAATGAAGCAAGATTGAAGTGAAGTAATTGCACATTAATATCAGCTGGTACTGATATCCTTTGATAGTAATACAATTATTACATCTGTCTATACCCTATAGCCACAGTAACTGTTTCAGTTGTAATTCATTTTATTTTTTTGCTGTCTGTCAGAAATACCTGGCTGTACCGTGTGTAGTTGTCTGGTAGAGAGAGAGAAAATTATTTGGCTTAACTCCCTTTTTGGTGTTTGTGCAAACTGCAGTTCTCACTCAAACTAGCCAGTTCAGTGTCATGACTGCTGAAGCCTGATATAAACCTTGGACAGGTATAATGTTTGAAATGCTCCAGATGCCTTTAAAATGCTCTGAACAGTGAGTGTGCAGATGAGCATGACTGAAGAAGTGCTTAAAAATAAGCGATCCGGGGCGGGAACACAGATTTTTCATTTTAACAGAGAAACACATGGATTTTGTTTTTTTGCAAAGAACTCTTTGCAGGCTGGCAGGGTTCCATCCTGCAAGGGGCTGGGGGGAGCAAGAGAAGGGTGGTTAGGCAGGGGGTGCCGTGTGCATGTACATGCTTAGGCCGCCAAGCAGCCTGGAGAGCAGCTCCTGCAAGTAAGTCTAAGGGGAGGGAAGGGGGATTGAAGCCCCGATAGGGAGGGAAGGAGTTGGGCAGGTCTCAGGCTGGGGCTTTTGCCCAGCCAGGCTGTGCGGGGGGCTTGGGACCCAGGGCTGCAATGCGTGGCCACAGAGCCCCGGTGGAGAGTGGGACAGGGCTGCGGGTGGCTTGTCCAGGAGGGTGGGGCTGGCTCCCTGTTGCTGCGTGCACTTCCAGGAGGGCAGGGGGACCTGTGCCCCACAAATCTTTGTGCAAGGCGGGGATGACATGTCAGGGTAGTACAGCACTTGCTAGAGGTGCAGCAGTATATCAGTCCAGTATCGGATTGGCAGCGATATAAACAAAATTGTCTATATCGGAAATCGGCCTGATGCGGCCGATAATTTGGCTGATATGGCCCATGCATACATGCAGCTGCAACACAGCACGTAGACAGGGAGGAGCACAGCCAGCAGTATGGAGAGCTGTGGTGGAATGGGAGGGGCGCAGTGGGGACAGATCAAGGCTTCCATGGTAAGGAGGGAATGGGACAGAGGCTGGGGCAGGTGCTGCCCAGCCAGGACAGGGGGGCACAGGATGGAGCTGTGGCTCATCCAGGGGGGGGT